ACACGTCCACTACAGCCCGGTTGGTCAAAAGATGTGGCATAAGAGTTGGTTTGCTGGTTTTCTCTTTAAGGCTTCCGTTAATCTTTATTGTTCAGGTACTTGATTATAGGCCTAAGCAACCTAGATTACGTTGCTTAGGCCTAAGAAACGCTAGTCTAATCTAAAATAATATTGATTTTTGGAGGAACTACTACTTTGCTATAGTTCACTGCTAAATAAAAACCTAATTATAATACTTTAATAATTGTATTCACAGTAATATAATATGTATAATACTGCTTATTAAACAAAAGTAAGTCTAGGCCTTCAAATTATAATGTCGAGTGTTGTATAAAGAAAAGTTATGCAAGGGTAACAAGGGTAGAGGATAACATTTCACAAGACGTAGGCTGTATAACAGTGCTAGTCACCGCCTTGTGTCTGAAGTCTCAAGCATAACTAGCTTAGTCTTGTGGGTTAGACCAAGTTAGATTCAAAGTAAACAACTAAGAGTAAAACGGTTCAATAACAGGATTCGCCTAAGACTGCCAGTAAAACTAAATTAAAGACTATTCAAACTACAGCGTCTCAAGTTGCAATATGTAGACCGTTCTATCCTGATGAGATAAATTAAGAAACATTAAACCTTAGATGGCATAGGCAAAAACGCCTTCATTTTAATGATCTCTTCGATATATCTACATAGACATCATTTAGAGGAGGGTGAACCGCTAAGCTACCCACAACGGCCAACACTACAGTATCTCTCATATTAAAATATTCTACAGGAACTTCTTTTCCATGGCTCACAAAATGTAGAAAAAAGTCCTGAAAGGCATTATTGAGAAACGTAACCCTACCGACACCAACTAGAAGACTAGTTGGTGTCGGTTGCAAAGCCCAAAAATTTAGAAAGTTTCCTTTCTAAAGGAAAGTTAGAAAGTTCATTCTTATGTTCTTATTGTGGAGGTGGGGTCCCTCGATTGTTTCAAGCGCGGGTTGGACATGTATATGAGTGGGATTGGGTGGTTATAGATAGGAGCTGCCTCGTATGGGCCAATAGGCCTTCTGCAGTTGCCTTTGTTCTTATGTTCCTTTTTCAAACAGAGTGGTAGACGGTTGGAACAAGCTAGGTGAGAAGGTGGTGGAGACCAAAACCGTCAGTAGTTCCAAAAGTGTTATCCAACAAGGAGTACTGGGACGGGACGGTACGGGACGAAAGACAGAGCACCACGAGTTTAACTCTCATCCTGTTACTACAATTAGGTAATTACACCCTCCACCCCCCCCCCCCACACACACACACACACACACACACACACACACACACACACACACACACACACACACACACACACACATATCGCGCGTGTGTGTGAGAGACAAGACAAAAAGAGAAAGAGAGAAAGATCTAGGAGTTGATATCACACCAAACCTGTCTCCTGAATCCCACATAAAAAGAATTACGTCTGCGGCAAATGCGAAGCTAGCTAACATCAGAACTGCCTTCAGGAACCTGTTTCAGGAATCATTTAGAATCTTGTGTACCACATATGTAAGGCCAATCTTGGAGTATGCGGCCCCAGCATGGAGCCCGTACCTTGTCGAGCACAAGACGAAGCTGGAAAAAGTTCAGAGGTCCACTAGACTAGTCCCAGAACTAAGAGGCATGAGTTACGAGGAAAGGCTGCGGGAAATGCACCTTACGACACTGAAAGACAGAAGAGTAAGGGGAGACATGATCACTACCTACGAAATCCTCAGGGGAATTGACAGGGTTATCTTGAGATGATTTAGAGGCTTTTTAGTGTCCCCGCGGCCCGGTCCTCGACCTGGCCTCCACCCCCAGGAAGCAGCCCGTGACAGCTGACTAACACCCAGGTACCTGTTTTACTACTAGGTAACAGGGGCATAGGGTGAAAGAAACTGCCCATTGTTTCTCGCTGGCGCCTGGGATCGAACCCAGGACCACAGGATCACAAGTCCAGCGTGCTGTCCGCTCGGCCGACTGGCTCCCCAAGGATAAACAAGGATAGACATGGCAGACAAGAATAAACTATTCAACACTGGTGGGACGCGAAGAAGGGGGCACAGGTGGAAACTGAGTACTCACATGAGCCACAGAGACGTTAGAAGGAACTTTTACAGTGTCGGGGTAGTTAACAGGTGGAGGATGACTCCATACACAGTTTTAAATGTATGATATGTAAATGTATAGATATGATAGAGCCCAGTAGGCTCAGGAATCTGTACACCAGTTGATTGACGGTTGAGAGACGGGACCAAAGAGCTAAAGCTCAACCCCCGCAAGCATAAATAGGCGAGTACACACACCGTATTTGCCTTGATAGAACCAGCACTCGGACCAACCCTACTGAAAGTCGGCAGACAATCCAGCTGGGACAGCCCCATCGTAAACAAAAACGCCACAGCTTTGCTGAAGGCAACAACAACCTCTCGTAATTGTGCTCCCCTCACAGCTGTGCGAGCTCCCCATGCAGGGGACTGCCTTTTGGCAGTCTCTATGTCCGCAACAGACACATGCCATAGCTCCATATTGCAATTGCCTACTGCCATGCCCAATCTACCCTGTATACAGGTGTATTTGTGGTGAGGCAGATGAAGACGAATATGGATCGTACGGTTTGGACTGCCGTAAATCAGGGGGTTACTTTGCGTTGGTTTCTAGAATCAAAGTCCTCATGGTTGATTGTCTGGTCAACCAGGCCGTTGGACCAAGTGTCGGCTGGTCGAGTGCACTCAAGATACGACGAAGTCGACATCATCATTAAGAGACACCCCTGCCCAGTGTCCAGCAAAAAGCGAGCTTCGTAATCTAATGTACTCTAACTGGACTACCTTGGCTGGTCGACCGGATAGAATCACACTATGCTAATGGAGAAATGACAAATTGGCGTGCGACTATACTTGCATATCTATCTTGGCAGCCACATACATCACCCTCTCTGTCGATCAAGCAGAAGCCGCGGCCTCACACACATACACAAACCAAATAAGTATACGGAAATATGTCATCGGTACCTATTCCGGTGTTCCGGTGTAAATTCGATGTAGGCAAGTCTCATTTTAGCTTTTGGGACAGGTATAATCTGCCCTTAGTGATTGAGTAGGCCTATTTATTGTTTTTCCAATAAATTATGCTACCTTTATTTTTGCGCGATATTAATTTCCCGAGAGATAATGGTGTAAACATTAAGGATATTCTATTTGTTTGCGAGGTCTCGTCTCACGTGCTGCTGGGTGGGTGATGGGGGGGGGGGTGTGCGTAGCCTAATGCATCGTAAAATTGCTACGTAAATTGGAGGCTTGAAACATCTGAGGGAATGGAAAGTCACAGGGTAATCTTCATTTTATATTCTTTTGAAAGAAAAAAGAAAGGTAGGATGGGGAAGCTGTTCGTGACTTGGGCTTTTGTTCATTTATATTCATGTGTGTGTTAGGAGTAAGGAGGGGGGGGGGGTACGGCCTGGACCCACGTGGAAGGTTGGGGTGTTGATGCAATTTTGCTTGCAAGTATTAGGCTTCCTACGGCAAGGGAACATTATTTGAAATACATCCGCTAAAAGTATTAACTTGCGCGCGCGCGCGCGCGCGCGCACACACACACACACACACACACACACACACACACACACACACACACACACACACACACACACACTGTATGTGGATATTTTTTGTTAACGTTTTTTTTTTATTCAATCCTGGACTGATAACATTGTTCTTATATTTCCATATATTTATTCTTTTTCCCCCCTCTCACTTCTTTCCATTTTTTTAAGAATAGCATAGCTTGGAAATCAAGCTTCTTGTCATGGATTGTAGATTTACAACAGATAAACAATTGGTAATAAATATATTTCTTAATTGTTACCGGCGGCATTGACCCATCTCATTCTGGATTTTTGGGAGAGCATATTTGTATTTGTGTATTATATTGTTTTCTTTATGCGGTTTATTGTTGTACAGTACTAGGCTACTTCCACGTTTATCTTCATTAGGGTGTATTTATCTTTAATTAGACCCCCTTTAATTAAAATGTTATTTGTTAATTTCCCGTTAATAACATCACTGATAACATTCTCAACTAAGGATATCCTTTGATAGTGCACAAGCAACACAAAAATGTGTCGTGGCACAGTAGAGTAAGGCGAACACAAAGGTAGGTAGGACGGCAGAAGTATTGCTTCCCAGATGACACACACTGGACATGTTGCATTGATGAACGGCGAAACGCAGCAAAAATTACTGGCCATCGCATTAAATTTTCACAATAGGAGTCGAAATATTGGCCCAAACCGAGCCTCTAAAATGTCGGCTTTTGACAATATTGGTTTTCCAACTTCTGTCTTCTGAGCTGGAAGAGGCTTATATATCAGCGCTCCTGGTAGGTTGCTTCCCCATTGGTTGCCAAGTTAAGCTGAAATGCCACGCTTGGAAAGCCTACAGGACTTGACTGGGAACGTATTTGGTTCAGGAGTTTAAGAGGCCTCGGTGTTATGAAAGTGCTCCTGGAAGTGTTTATCATTAATTTAGAATTGAGCTTGGAAGACGTACAGGACGCGCTTAAGAAAGGTCCTTATCGTTGTTTCTTTATATAACCCAAGGACAACATGTATGGTTCTTTGAGGAAGTTTATAGGACAGCCTAAGTGGATGTATTTATATGAGTCTAGACTCTAGAGGGATATGCTCTGAAATTTGAGTATGCATTTCTTCGCAATTTTAGAAATATTGTAAATTTCATCGCCTTGATATCTTGTACCGGAGCTCTACCATCATGATAGCCGAATAGCAGTTCTATCTCATTGATAACTGAGTACTGGAGCTCTTGCTAAAGACGTGTGACATTCTCATTTCTAGACATAAATATCACAACTGTATCTGTGGTAGAGAATAAGTATATTATAGAATTAAGTATAGAGAATACTTAACGGAGCCCACTTTAAAACTGTCCATATCTTTTATATGTAGCTTACTACTGTACTCTTGGGTGCTCACTTGTTCCAAGTGCCACTTTCACAACTTGCATAAAAAGATTTCCTATACCATTCCTTAACTACCATAAAAAACTCAATAATTAACCAGAAATAATATAACAATCTTTTAATATCAAAGTACTATTAGCAGCTTCATTCTCTTTTTAAAGAGTAATCTTGGTTGTATATCTTTTAAGCGCGAAAAATGTCTGGAACAAAAAAAAAATCTTAGCAAGCTTTGTCATTCTTACAGACGACAAGGTTTGGCAGATTTTTTTAGCTGACAGTTTCACCTCATCGTTTCCTGGCTAGCAGCCTTCCCCCCCCCCCCTTTTTTTTTAGTAAAGAGGAAGGAGAGGCATAGATGAAGGGAAGTATAGAAGTGGGAAATACAGTGAGAGGTATGAAAGCCGGCGGGCTGTCCGCCTTGCTGACTTCCCCACTGTTCCCCGGTGCTCTCTGTGCTACCCTCTCTGCTGGTCCCTTGCCTTCTCCTGGCCAGCCTACCGGACCCCTGCCTGGTCCCTTGCTGTCTTGTCGCCGTCATCTCTCTTAGGCTACTTCCTCATCTCTCGTTCCATAATGTATATACACACTGCGGGGTGCTTGGTTCCACCTTCGCGGCCTACCTTCTCTCCCGGATGGGCTGGAAGGCTTTGCCTATATCAGGATAGTATATTTTCTTGTGTAAAAATTCTTTAGTCACACGTCTAAATAACCAAGTTAACTTTAGTACAATTTATAATAATTCTGAAATGCATTAGTGAGCGTTAGGTTCTATTGGTTGCATGTATCTTGAGGTTATCTTGAGATGATTTCGGGGCTTTTTTAGTGTCCCCGCGGCCCGGTCCTCGACCAGGCCTCCACCCCCAGGAAGCAGCCCGTGACAGCTGACTAACACCCAGGTACCTATTTTACTGCTAGGTAACAGGGGCATAGGGTGAAAGAAACTCTGCCCATTGTTTCTCGCCGGCGCCTGGGATCGAACCCAGGACCACAGGATCACAAATCCCGCGTGCTGTCCGCTCGGCCGACCGGCTCCCAATCCAGAACCCAGAACGTATAATCCAGAACGATATTAATTTGTTGACTCTTTAAAATTTTGATAAATAATAACCTTTACGGAGCGAACTAGCCGTTATTCGAACCACTGGACAATTTGGATCAAGTCCAAATTGTTTAGTGTTTCTAATAAAGCCATCTTGAAGCTCTGGTAGGAACACAGTACACGTAAAAATTGGCCAATTTAACAGCCCGGATGGTAATACCTGGATCTGGGAGCTTGGTTCTGCCAGTCCAACTTCCTTGCCCGAGAACAGCCCAGGAACCTCTCCATCCCTCTTGCAAGTTTTCAAGTTAATTTTTGCCGTCATGGGGAACCTTTTGTAACATGTTACTTTTACCGCGGGTTTGATTTCAGGTGATAAGTTTGAACCTCACTGAGAAGCCTAGTTTTTGTCGCGCGGACCGTACTGTTCCGATTCAAAACAATCTCTCTCTACTTCTTTTCCACTTGTAACGACCCCTGTCTGTTTTCCCTTTACTTCATTAGCAAGGCCGTCATATCCTTAGGACGGTCGCTCCTCTGAGGCCTGGTCTTCTTGCAGCCATCCTTCAGTGGTCCTCAACTCTCATGTTACTGTAAAGAATCATGGGATTCTTATATCTCCCAGTCTTTCCCCGAGCGTTCTGTTTCCTTTATTCGATCCAGTTAGAGGCCTTCACTCTCACTTTCTTGGTTCCCAACATTTCCAACTTGGAAAGACGCATTCCTCTTTCTAAATTTCATAAACATATTGTGACATTTTTTCCTTTATGTTTCTTTCCCTCAAATGTTCCCTTTCAGACTTTACATAACCATTCTTGGGAGACATTTTCCCCTCCCGTCACCCTTCCAGCTGCTACAGACACCACCCCTCCTCTCCCTTGTCCCGCCAAAGATCTTCCTCGCTCCCTCTTCGTCCACCTTGGTAGTACAACAGTCACTAGGAAAGGGACCCTCGCCTTTTACTACTCTAGGTGGCGTAATCCCTCACCCCCATTAGGAAGCCTCCCATGTGCTATAACCCTCCACCTCTCATGGTGAGCCCTCTTATGTGCCTCGGCTCCTTTGCTTATTGTCCTCCTTCGCGGGGGAGGGGGTGGGGGTAATATCCTAAAGGGGGTACAATTAAAAGGGAGATGATGGGTAGGCTCTATGGGGACCCTATCTTTCTTCATTGGCCAACCTCTCCCACCGCCCCTTCTTCCCAATGCATCTTCTACCCTCTACTGCTGCTCTGCTCCCCTCCACCCCTTCTCCCCCATCACTTCTCCCCTCCACCCTCTTCTCCCCTACATCCCCCTTCTCGTTTACACTTTTTTTTTAAACACATTTAGGTACATCTGCATTTGTACAGCTGCCCTAGACTCTATGAAGGGGAGTACTGTGTGTCGAAAAGCTTACTACGTGATTGCTAAAGTCCCCATCTCGCAGGATGGTTAGTCATACAGGGGCCATATGTTCAGCAGCCAGCACTGGCAGCTGAACATATGGCCCCTCATATTGCACATTTGGGTGCAATATGAAGATATCCTCAAGAACACGAGAGTGAATAAAGTAATTGCAAAGCTCCAGGTACCTCATGCCAACTGGTCTGATAACTGGGCATTCGGTGATGTATGCGAGATCGTGCCGTAGTTCCTGCTAACATAGTTTGCACCTGGAGTGCTCAGGATTGGGAGATCCGTCACCTGTAGCCACCTGCCACAAGTAACGGTAACCCAACCTGATCCTGGCAACCATTGTATCGCTCAGTCTGTTGGACGTTTTGTATTGCCCATAAACATAGGTTTCAGATCTGAACAAATCGTAGCCTTTAATACTGGTGCTTTCAGGTCGTTGGGAGTCGGTAATTTCTCTATCAGACTTGAGTGATTGGAACAATATAGTTTTGACAGTAGAGATGGGGGATACCTGGGTCTAATTCAACTTCATCATTGTTGCACTCTAATTTGGCTGCAATGTCTATCTCATTGTGATGGGTTATACTTGTGTGTGATGGTATCCATACAAAGGAAATTCGAAACCCTTTACTCTGTGCAGCGATTAGGTCAATTATAATTGGTAGTATGAGGTTCTTGCTGTCGATCTTCCAGAAGTTTTCGATCGCTTGAAGACCAGACCTTGAGTCACAAAATATTGTTCCTCCTCCAATGTTTTTTAATGTAATGGTAGCTAGTTGTAGTGCCGCTAGTTCTGCTTGTGTGGAGCTTCCCTACACCCCCCTCCCTCCTACACCCCCTCCCTCCTACACCCCCTCCCCCCTACACCCCCTCCCCCCTACACACCCCCTCCCCCCTACACCCCCTCCCCCCTACACCCCCCTCCCCCCTACACCCCCCTCCCCCCCCCAACACCCCCTCCCCCTACACCCCCCCCCCTCCCCCCTACACCCCTCCCCCCTACACCCTCCCACCACCTCCCCTCCCCCCTACACCTCCCCCCCCCCTACACCCCCCTCCCCCTACACCCCCCCCTCCCCCCTTCACCCCCCTACACCCCTCTCCCCCCCCTTCACACCCTCCTTCCCCCCCCCTCCCCCCTACACCCCCCTCCCCCCTACACCCCCTCCCCCCTACACCCCCCTCCCCCCTACACCCCCCTCCCCCCCTCCCCCCTACACACCCCCTCCCCCCTACACCCCCTCCCCCCTACCCCCTCCCCCCTATACCCCCTCCCCCTACACCCCCCTCCCCCTACACCCCCCTCCCCCTACACCCCCCCTCCCTACACACCCCCCCCCCCCTACACCCCCCCTCCCCCTAAACCCCCCCTCCCCCTACACACCCCCCCTCCCCCTACACCCCCCCTCCCCCTACACCCCCCTTCCCCTACACCCCCCTCCCCCCGTCCCCCCCCCTACTCCCCCCACACCCCCTACACCCCCCCCTCCCCCTACACCCCCCTCCCCCTACACCCCTCCTCCCCCTACACCCCTCCTCCCCCTACACCCCTCCTCCCCCTACACCCCCTGCCCCCCCCAACACCCCCTTCCCCCCAACACCCCCCCCTTCCCCCCTACACCCCCTTCCCCCTACACCCCCTTCCCCCCTACACCCACCTCCCCCCTTCACCCACCTCCCCCCTTCACCCCCCTTCCCCTGTACACCCCCTTCTCTTACCACCGCTTCCCCTACACCCCCTTTTCCCTTCCCCATCGGTCAACGTAGGGAGGGGTGAGGGGAAACGCACCCGAGTTTTCAGATACTTTTGACTCGACTTGGAAGGGAAACTTTTTAATTCATTTTACACGCCACGTCGGGGCGGAGTTGAAAGCGGTCCATTTCGTATTTTCACCGCGATTCGGCTCGGCCCCCGCTGGGAATTTCAATGAGATTCCCTGGTTTTTAAATCCCAGACTGGACCAATGTTACGTCATATTTTTTGTGGCATTTTATAAGTAATCGACTTAAGGATTAAAAAGGCTGGTGCCGGGGCGGGCGAGTTGTGACATGGGGTAATGGTAGAGTTGGTGGGGGGGGGGGGAGGAAGGATGAATACTCGCTCGGGGAGAGGGGGGGGGTTAATTACTCGTGTAGGTTGACGGGCTGATTACTCGCATGGGTGGGGGGTTGATTACTCGCGAGTGGAGTGGAGTGATTGATCACTCTTAAAGGAACAAAACAATGCTGGTGAGGGAGTAGCAATTGAGTGTTCATAGGGGGAAATCCTAATACTGACGGAGGTGGGGTATACATAGTTATTTCGGGGGGGGGAGGTAAATCATGACGCAAGGGAGGGGATGAGTTGTCACGGGGGGAGGATGACAACACAGTAGGCAGCCGGGGGAGAGTTGAGGCTAAGAGGACGAGCCTTTCAAACAAGATATGCTATACCAATGATGATACTTCTCAAGACGCTGCCGCTGCTATCACAGGCTGTCAGTTTCAGCCCCGCTCCTGTGCCAGGGAAGTTCATTACGGGCTCACCATAGCTCGTGCTACTTGGAACTTCGGGTTCCGAGTAGCTGAATCTAAAACAATAATTTCAAGACGCTAGTGTTCTCTAGAGTGGAATAATGTTGCACAATGACAGCCCCTTTCGAAGCGGGAGAAATTGCTGACCTGGAGAGCGTGCAGAGATCCTTTACTGCTAGAATCCACTCGGTTAAACATCTGAACTACTGGGACCGACTAAAGAGCCTAAATCTGTATTCTCTTGAGCGCAGGCGGGAGAGATACTTAATAATTTACACGTGTAAAATAGTAGAGGGGCTGATCCCAAACCTGCACACAGAAATAACATCACATGAAATCAGAAGGCATGGCAGGATGTGCAGAATACCCCCGTTGAAGAGCAAAGGTGCAATAGGTATTCTGAGAGAGAACTATCAACATCAGAGGCCCGAGACTGTTCAACACGCTTCCGCTACACATATGGGGCATAACTGCCCGACCCCTCACAGTGTTCAAGAGAAAACTCGATAAACACATCCAAAGGTTATCTGATCAAAAAGGCTGTGATTCATACGTCAGGCTGCGAGCAGCCGCGTCTAACAACCTGGTTGACCAGTCTAGCAACCAGGAGGCCTGGTCGACGACCGGGCCTCGGAGACGTTGAGCGCCGAAATCCACGCAAGATAAGGAGAGGACGTGGGGAGGGGGTGATTGTGTTGTTCAAGGAAGTCCCCCTCCCCCATGTTTTTCATGGCATTCCAAATATAATGAATATTTTTAATCATCCCTGTTATTATGTTAGTTTGTACCTTTAAAACAACTCTGCCCCCATCCCCGTCCCTTTTCCACAAGTGAATTCTATGCAAATATTAAATAACTAACAAAAATCACGTTTAACAATAATGATAATTACTATTCATTTGTAGCAACTTTTAAGCATTTTTTTCTGAATATTTCATGAAGCTCAGATGAGAACATTCAGAGATTTAGGCTTTTTTCCCCGCCCAAAATGCGGCGCCAAAAACCCTCAGCAATATTACTCCTGATATAACATGGTGCGTTCCCAAGCACACGCCCTAAACCGCTTGGCCACAATATGCAACCCGTTCTCGCACTTGCTTTTAGTCAATATTGGCTTATTTAATAAGTGCATATGTGACATAGTAATTGAGAATATTTTAGTTTACCTTGAAAAGCTTCATAGATGTGTTGATTATCTAATGATTAGTAGATGATTTACCTAATATGGTTGATTACCTGTTAGGTAATGCAACCTGGAATTCAACTGAATCCTCCAGGGAGTCCTGAGGTTCCAGTGGAACCATGTCAGTGTTTCACGCATTACCCGGCATACACTCGGGCGTTGTATAGGAGTTCTATCCGCAACGCTTCCTTTCAGATGCACAAATAAATCACATTAACTTGGTGTGTCAAGTTATACATCATGTTGGTGCCATTTCTTTGTGTAATAATAATACTGTAATACACACCACACATTTCCTCATTAATAATAATTAGTTATGGTAATGTATTCTCACAGACACAATAACTTACGATATAAACCCACACCTGTGTATTGTGAAATTTGTTATATTATTAACATCGTTATTGACAAAATTTAATTACAATTTTGCCTAATCTTAGGATTTCAATTAAGTCTGATTACAGTGAGGATAATGCTGGTATTCACTGTCACACAGGACAGAGGGTCATACACAAGACAATAGGTCTAAACTGTAGGCTGAAGCACATATATATCATGGTTACAATCAATTTTTTAATGTACGAATATGTAAAAACAACTTTCTACTGGTCACTGCCACACATTCTTTAAAATGGACAAGCAAATTTTGGATAAATTGTTAGGATGTCGTCCAGTACACCAGATTCAATAAAGTTACACAGTTGGTACAAGAGGCCAGGAGGTCTAAAATCTTTTACGGTTTCACATTCAACAATATAGTGTTCTAGTGAATGCCTTAAAGGTTTGTCACAGAGTTTACAATCTGAATATTCTGGTAGTGGCTCAGCCTCACTAACCTGCCAGATGGGCCTATTGCTAAGGTGAATTCGCGTATTGACTACATCACATTGCCTGGTCCGGTTACTGTGCTGACCATACAAATACCTATTATTACAAAACTTCTCATAGCTTTTAATACTGCAGCTTTCAGGTCTCTGGCCATTTCTTAGTTCTTCTAAACCTGAATTAATTTCTTTAATTTGTATGTTTCTAATAATTGCATTAGATAGTCCAAAGTCATAATCGGTGTTTTCTTTCCTGCAAGCCTCATTGGCCAATCGATTTACAGTCATGTTTTCCAACTCCAACATGGGATGGGATCCATACAAATTTTATACAAGAGTTATTATCATTGGCAAAAATTACATTCCATTTAATATTACAAGCTACTTCAGACATACATTGTGATGGGTTATTTAAGAACTGCAGAGCACTTTTAGAGTCACAGAATATCACTCCACCACCATTGAGCTTAAGGTATTCAGTGGCTAGATAAATGCCCAATAGCTCAGTCTATGTCGTGATTGCCCAGTTGTTCAACCTCTGTGTACTAGTCATGATCATTTCATTCCCTTTATACACTACACATGCACAACCTGTTCTGCCAGTACCTAACTGCACAGAGCCATCAGTAAAGGCATAGGATTCAGTTGGTTTGAGATTTTGAAGATAACTGTCAATAGCTTCTAATGTTATACATCTCATAGTTTCTGTTATACATTTGTTTTACACTGAGGGGGGTATAATGTAGAAACCTGCTCATTATTTATGTAAGGAATTTACACCAAGTCTTTCGCACTCTCGTGAGTGATTTGTCAAGGTCTGAGTGTGTGATTAGGACGAGACTTACATCTCCACGTCTAATCCCATTGTTTAGACGTTGAAATGTAAGTCTCATTCTAATCACACACTCAGACCTTGACAAAGCACTCAGGGGGTTTTCAGTTGAGTGCGAAAGACGGTATAAATTCCTTACATAAATTTTCACAAATAACCAAATAATAATAATAATAATAATAACGGTGTGTTGAGGGAAAGGTGGGAGGGGTAGGCTGTGAAAATGATTAGGTAGACTAGGGGACAGGGAAGTGGGACGGAAAATAGAGAAGATGGAGGCGAGGGATGGTTGGTGGTGAATAAGTGAAGAGTGAAGATGATAGTCACAGCGGGCGATGACGAGGAAAATCAGAAGAGGCGGCGGCGGAGTGGAGAAAATTGAGATGGAACAGTTGATCCACGGCAACACGTCAATAACAGGACGAGACTTCACTGAAACGCCAATAACAGGAGACTCGTTGATATGTCAATATCAGGGAGAGACTACTGACACGTCAATATCAGGGGGAGAGACTACTGACACGTCAATATCAGGGGGAGAGACTACTGACACGTCAATATCAGGGAGAGACTACTGACACGTCAATATCAGGGGGAGACTACTGACACGTCAATATCAGGGGGAGAGACTACTGACACGTCAATATCAGGGGGAGAGACTACTGACACGTCAATATCAGGAGGAGAGACTACTGACACGTCAATATCAGGGGAAGACTCTACTGACACGTCAATATCAGGGGAAGACTCTACTGACACGTCAATATCAGGGGGAGACTACTGACACGTCAATATCAGGGGGAGACTCTACTGACACGTCAATATCAGGGGGAGAGACTACTGACACGTCAATATCAGGGGGAGACTCTACTGACACGTCAATATCAGGGGGAGAGACTACTGACACGTCAATATCAGGGGGAGACTCTACTGACACGTCAATATCAGGGGGAGAGACTACTGACACGTCAGTATCAGGGGGAGACTCTACTGACACGTCAATATCAGGGGGAGAGACTACTGACACGTCAATATCAGGGGGAGAGACTACTGACACGTCAATATCAGGGGGAGAGACTACTGACACGTCAATATCAGGGGGAGAGACTACTGACACGTCAATATCAGGAGGAGAGACTACTGACACGTCAATATCAGGGGAAGACTCTACTGACACGTCAATATCAGGGGAAGACTCTACTGACACGTCAATATCAGGGGGAGACTCTACTGACACGTCAATATCAGGGGAAGACTCTACTGACACGTCAATATCAGGAGGAGAGACTACTGACACGTCAATATCAGGGGGAGAGACTACTGACACGTCAATATCAGGGGGAGACTCTACTGACACGTCAATATCAGGGGAAGACTCTACTGACACGTCAATATCAGGAGGAGAGACTACTGACACGTCAATATCAGGGGGAGAGACTACTGACACGTCAATATCAGGGGGAGAGACTACTGACACGTCAATAACAGAGGGGATATTCGACTGATACATCAATAACAGAAAGGATATTCGACTGATACATCAATAACAGAAAGGATATTCGACTGATACATCAATAACAGAAAGGATATTCGACTGATACATCAATAACAGAAAGGATATTCGACTGATACATCAATAACAGAAAGGATATTCGACTGATACATCAATAACAGAAAGGATATTCGACTGATACATCAGTAACAAAAAGGATATTCGACTGATACATCAGTAACAAAAAGGATATTCGACTGATACATCAGTAACAAAAAGGATATTCGACTGATACATCAGTAACAAAAAGGATATTCGACTGATACATCAATAACAGAGGGGATATTCGACTGATACATCAATAAGAGGGGATATTCGACTGATACATCAATAACAGAAAGGATATTCGACTGATACATCAATAACAAAGGGGCGATGTCATTGACAAGACAAGAGTAGTCAGAGACCTCACGTCCCGGAAAGACACGTGCGCAAAGGTTAGGTGAGAAAGGATAGGAGTGACGGTTCAGTGAAAGCGGATAGGAGGGAAGGTTAGATGAGACACTAGATGGGAATAGGGGTTAGAGAGAAACCTATATCCAAATTGTACAAGTAGAAGACATGAATTGAAAATGCGGAAGGGAACAAGTTACGCGATACGGTGTGGAGGAGTGATATTCTTAACAGACTGAAAAGAACGAACGTCAAAACATTACCATAAAGAGTGGGAGAAAATAAACTTGGAGAGACTGAAGGAACGCCCGAGGGAATGAGAGGAAAGAGAAGGTGATCGTGTTTGTATTATTTGTGCCGTATTTGAGTGCAAGGAATGCTTAATGAAATCCCTCCACCCACCGAAGTTTTATCAGGATCAGCGCTCCGGGTTTCCGGTTGGATCAAAGGGCGGTATTTTGGATTTGGGAGGTGTGGGGGAGGAGGGGGGGGTGGGAGACAGGCCCCCCCTCACAGCCCCGGACCCCCATCCTTACCGCTCGTTGAATTGCATTCATACTTCTCTCCAAAATAGAAAATGAAATATTCACGTCCTTCGTTGTTGGAGATAAGGCCGAGGGAGAGAGAGGAGAGACAGAGAGAGAAGGTAGAGACAGGCAGAGAGAGAGAGAGAGAGAGAGAGAGAGAGAGAGAGAGAGAGAGAGAGAGAGAGAGAGAGAGAGAGAGAGAGAGAGAGAGAGAGAGAGAGAGAGAGAGAGAGAGAGGGAGAGAGAGAAGGGAGAGAGAGAGGGGGAGAAGGGAGAGAGAGAGAGGGGGAGAAGGGAGAGAGAGAGGGGAAGAAGGGGGAGAGGTGTGTGTGCGTGCTTGCCTGGTAGAGATGTTGTATGACAGAAAGATAATAATAATCCCGCCTATCACAGGATTAGTGACTGCTTGTACATAAAACAAAAAATAGCCCAGGAAATGGGATTTTAAAAAGTTTAAGTATTATGAAATTTGTGCGTCAAATGTTGCTCACATTTTGTGATCATTAGCATGAATATAACAATGTTAGAATAAGAGGCTAAATGTATTAATTAGCAAAATAAAGAAAGCGAGTTATAAAGAGATGCGATAGCCTTGTGTGTTAAGCCGTTCTCTTGAAATATGTAGATTACATTGGACAAATAAAACATGAATTTAACTACGACAGTGCTACTGAATTGTTACATTTAAATATAACAAGCAAACAAAAGGCCGTTCCTGAGCCTGCCCCCCGCGACACAAACGCTCAAAAATCAACATAGTCGTTAGTTGGGGCTGAAATTATATTGTGGGCAACTGAATTCTTTAATTTAAATTTATTGCGTGTGAATTTCGCGGGCCATGCGGGCTGGCCAGTGTTCCACTACCCTCCCTTCCCACCTCTCCCTTCCCACCTCTCCCTTCCCACCTCTCCCTTGTGTTGCAATTTGCAGGAGTCGGCGATGATACCAACTCTTGGCAATGCAATACAGCGGTGCCACGTCTCCGTCAGCTGACCATGTGCGGTGTTGCCATAATGTTGGTCATGAGCCAGGCTGCCAACCGGCCGCTGTTCACCGTTATTTATTGGCAGTTTGTTCTTACGGTTTAAGAACTTTAAGAACTTATCTTTATCGTTCTTTTGTCTGTTTGACGAAATTCCTTTTTCATCAATGGTGTCTTCGTAAATAAGACGCGTGTGTCCAATCGCAAGACAAGACTTGCACACATTGGGATTTATCAGTCTTGTTGAGGTAGGCTACAGAGACATTTGATCCAAGACTTTTTTTACCAAGCAGTGAAAATGTAAAGGTTTGTTAATACTGGCATTTTTATCTATTTACAAATGTAGGAACTCCTTTTAAAAGAAACTGTTTTGCCTCGTATGGAGTATGGAGTTTGCGCGCGACCTTGATAATGGGGTCCAGTACGGGGCGGTTGTAGTTAACGGGGTTAGAGATAAGTGAACAGCAGGAAACTTGTCAGTGTGAAATGCTCTCTACCTTATGACGTCATCGCCCTGGTTAACCTTGCTGTGAGGTCATTGTGTGTGTGTGTTTTGTGTGGGGGGGGGGGGGGCATGAGATTGTTTTGGAGGCAGTGTGTGTGTGGGGGGGCATGAGATTGTTTTGGAGGCAGTGTGTGTGTGGGGGGGCATGAGATTGTTTTGGAGGCAGTGTGTGTGTGGGGGGGCATGAGATTGTTTTGGAGGCAGTGTGTGTGTGGGGGGGCATGAGATTGTTTTGGAGGCAGTGTGTGTGTGGGGGGGCATGAGATTGTTTTGGAGGCAGTGTGTGTGGGGGTGGAGGGAGGGAGGTATGGGGGGTAGTGTGTGTGTGGAAAGAAAGGTTTGAGGAGCAGTGTGTTGGGGGGGTGGGGGGAAGATGATTTGGAGGGGGGGCATTGTGTATTTGTGGGGAAGAGAGGAAAGTTTGGGGGAGGGGCAGTGTGTATGGGGAGGAGATTTGAGGTGTGGTTACTCTTATAGACTATGTATGTTCGCTTGGTGTTTAGAGTGTGCGGGAAGCAGTAAAAATCATGCTAATTACGGGACGGGTTTCACCCAAATACTCTAGAAATATTTAATATTTTAGCAAGCTGGTAATGAACAATGATGACCGTGAACATTACGAGCGGTGTATTATGTGCCAGCATAAAAAGCCTTCATGACTCACTCTAGAATGGCATGGCATTTGTGCTGCTCTGCGCGGGGAGCACTCACTGCCCACCTCAGCTTTCACAACACACATTGCGTTTCCTTCTGCTAGCTAAACACCGCACGCACGCTGCCTGCCAGGCCTGCGTGCTTGCCTGCCAGGCGTGCCTGCCTGCCAGGCGTGCCTGCCTGCCAGGCGTGCTTGCCTGCCAGGCGTGCCTGCCTGCCAGGCGTGCCTGCCTGCCAGGCGTGCCTGCCTGCCAGGCGTGCCTGCCTGCCTGCCTGCCAGGCGTGCCTGCCTGCCTGCCTGCCAGGCGTGCCTGCCTGCCTGCCTGCCAGGCGTGCCTGCCTGCCTGCCTGCCTGCCAGGCGTGCCTGCCTGCCTGCCTGCCTGCCTGCCTGCCTGCCTGCCAGGCGTGCCTGCCTGCCTGCCTGCCTGCCTGCCTGCCAGGCGTGCCTGCCTGCCTGCCTGCCTGCCTGCCAGGCGTGCCTGCCTGCCTGCCAGGCGTGCCTGCCTGCCAGGCGTGCCTGCCTGCCTGCCAGGCGTGCCTGCCTGCCTGCCAGGCGTGCCTGCCTGCCTGCCAGGCGTGCCTGCCTGCCTGCCAGGCGTGCCTGCCTGCCAGGCGTGCCTGCCTGCCTGCCAGGCGTGCCTGCCTGCCAGGCGTGCCTGCCTGCCTGCCTGCCTGCCAGGCGTGCCTGCCTGCCTGCCTGCCAGGCGTGCCTGCCTGCCTGCCTGCCAGGCGTGCCTGCCTGCCTGCCTGCCTGCCAGGCGTGCCTGCCTGCCTGCCAGGCGTGCCTGCCTGCCTGCCAGGCGTGCCTGCCTGCCTGCCTGCCAGGCGTGCCTGCCTGCCTGCCTGCCAGGCGTGCCTGCCTGCCTGCCTGCCAGGCGTGCCTGCCTGCCTGCCTGCCAGGCGTGCCTGCCTGCCTGCCAGGCGTGCCTGCCTGCCTGCCTGCCAGGCGTGCCTGCCTGCCTGCCTGCCAGGCGTGCCTGCCTGCCTGCCAGGCGTGCCTGCCTGCCAGGCGTGCCTGCCTGCCAGGCGTGCCTGCCTGCCTGCCAGGCGTGCCTGCCTGCCTGCCAGGCGTGCCTGCCTGCCTGCCAGGCGTGCCTGCCTGCCTGCCTGCCAGGCGTGCCTGCCTGCCTGGCCTTCCTGCCTGCCAGGCGTGCCTGCCTGCCTGGCCTTCCTGCCTGCCAGGCGTGCCTGCCTGCCTGGCCTTCCTGTCTGCCTGGCCTTCCTGCTTGGCCTGCCTTGATTTGATTGTTGCCGGCGGAGGCGGCTAATTTATTGTGCACCCCATACTCATCCTGTGAGCGGTAGCGCAAAAAGCATTACAGAGGGCACAAAAGGTCTTTATCAGACCTCATCTTAGATTATTACATAAACAATTTCATCTATCCTTCACACCTTATAGTTACAATGTCAGCTAGTTACAGAGAAAGTGTTATTTCAAGAGCTATATATTTACAGTAAGTCATCATACATTAATGGCAGGTCTTATCGCTAATACATAATAGTTTGACCAATGGGGATATTACAGAGTCATAGGGGAGCTTCTGTTTATTATTAGTCCTCACAATACACTACTTGTTTCTTAATCTCATATGTCGTTCATCTACTGGAAGCGAAATATGGATACAGTGCAAGGATTTCAGGTAATTTATCCATGGTAATAAGGTAGGTTGCCATATCATACAAAGTGAGCTTAGATTCATCTCTAAAAGGCTCAATTTTACTACAATCCAAGATATAGTGTTCGAGTGTGCCCCTGGCTTTGTCCACACACTTTACACTTTACTTCATTTAGATCCCTATACAAGCCGAACTGCCAGAGATACTTGTAGCCAAGTCTTATACGAGCTGTGACAACATCTGTTAGTCCACTTACTTTGTTACTTGCCCCATACACAT